TGGAATCAAAGCTCTGTAACTAATTAAACTTCATAGGAAATGCTAACATGTATTTTTTAAGGAGGAAATTATTGTGGTAGCAACTGTACGTCACTTACCTTGAATGACCTAACCACTTCTGCCATTTGTCCTCATTCATTGTTAACGGCCTGTTAACAGTTCCAAAACACTTCTGGATTTTATTTTAACCTAAACTTTTTTACAATGTTGTAAAAATAATTTAATTGTGTAAGTGAATAAAGATAACCCAAGAACTACATTTGTATACAAAATTGTCTTAAGGAGGCCAGTAATCCAATTTGTGTTGCACTGAGAGCACGCCTAACCAAATGTGCAAAGACCAGCAAAGCGGTGTCAGTCAGATCAGGGGACCTCCTTCACTTACTACCTTTGCTTATTTAAACCAACTATGGGACATTGAATGTAACTCACTGTTCTATTGAAGGGTTACAAATACAAGCTGAAAAAGCAAATTAACCCTCTGAGGAGTACGTACTTCTGAAATAAAATGGTGTAGTAGGAAACTATTTTGTGAGATCAAACTTGAAGAATAATAGTGCTCAATATTCTACTTAAGTCTGAAAACTCAAAGCTTCCTTAGTTAAAACAATATACACCTTTCACAGCTTGTATTACTGGGTATGGTAGCTTTGCAGAGTGTTGTTTATTAATATAATACATACATAGTGCTGGGTTTAATATTTTATTTGAATGACGTTTAATGTTATGCAAAATAAATTGTTATGTTACATCCACTGTGACATCAACTAAAATGTGAACTAGTTTGCATAGGTTAGTACTTTGGGCAGCATGACGTTGCTCTAGTCCACCAAGGCTTAAATATTCACAGTGTAGAGGAAGAAACAGGAATTAAAGCATTTCTACTAAAATATATTTTAATAGCTGGTGTTAACTTTCTGCATAACAAAAGCCAAATTAAGATGATACATCATATGATCCAAGAGTAAGTATATCTGTCCTTTGAAAAACAAATGTTACCTTCATAACTGTATACTCCCAAATACAGTACAGTTTTGCAAAATAACTAAAACTTTACACACTTTAAAGCAAACATAAGCCAAACTGCACAGCGGTTCATTTTTGCTTTTTATATCACACTGCAAAAACCAACAGCTGAGAGATTTTCCACATCATGCTAATCAATGTCAATAGTCATTGCTGTCTTCCAATGGTCTAGCAATTTCTAATAGTAATATTAAATACACATGATTGAAATGCTACAGTATAGCTTATTTTCCCCCCTAAAATAATAATAATTAAACAAATGTCAACAACAACTGGATTACAACTTAAGTACAATATGCAAATTCTATTTATCAGACACAAGAAGCATATGAAATTTCTTTGAATATACTGTTGTAGTGCAGGCAGTTTAGGAAATAGAACTTTCAGGTTTTCTTTCAAAAGGAGAGATGGGGTTCCTATGGCATAAAGCTGGAGAAAATCACTAAAGCATTGCAAAATGGTTTATTCTTCTACATCTCACCAGTACTTTGCATTTGCCAGCACATCAGTTTGGAGATCTTCTTTCAACAGCATCTTTTGCCTGTTTCAGTATACTATTTAAACATTTACTAACAAAAGCATATTCTGTATTTTAAATGGAGTATTAATCAACATAATTAAAATCTAATATTTTATACCCTGTACTGCTTTCTGCCAAAGACTTCTGTATTTGTCATTTCTTTTTTATTGTACAAGATGACATGCAGTCACTGTACAATAAAATCTAGAATTATTACCTTTCCCAAGTATTAGAGACCTTACATATCCCCAAGGAACACTCAGTAGGGACACATTTGTCAAAAATATAATCCATGGGAGGTGATTCTCTGTCAAATCCCAATCTGCTGAAGTGGTTTATGGTATGTCAAATGTAATCAAGAAAACCCTGTTTCATCAAGATTAAGTGCTAATGTTCCATAATGAAAAATTACAACTGCAGTATCTGTAAGTAGCTTTGTTTACAAAATGAAGATTAGCCAGGCAAGAAAGAGTAATGAAAAGCAAGGCACCCATTTGTTCTTATATATCTGTGAATAAGCTCTATGTTGTTCTCTGCATTTATACTTGTGTTAGCAAGAATTACAGCACGTCTTTATTTCTAAAATGCTTAAAATGGGAATGTGTGAACTTCCAACCTGAACTTTGGAACATTTTGGGAAATTTGGCTTCTTAAAAGTCTTTTCCTTTCCACAGAAAAATGTTGTCTACGGGAAGAATGTACAGTGAGGGGAACATGCTGTGTTAAAAAGGAATATATACTTTTAAAATTACAAGACAGCATACAACATCTGTTCACCTCTATATCACACTGCATGTAACAGGCTCCAACATATGTCTTGTAAAACCTGTGCTG